TTTGGAGAGAATGGATTTAAGTATGAGGCGCGTTCTCATCTCTCCACATATGTGTGCGGAATTCACCGTCATGAATCCGATTTATCAGAGTGCCATCCGATTTCTCCAGGAAAAATTAACGCCAAATGAATGTTACTCTGATACCGCTGAGCGTGTTACTGCATTCCTCTGTCGTATCAATAGAAGATCAAAGACAAGGGATGTAGGGTCGCGCTCTCATTTTTAACGAACGCAGCAGTTCTCATCACTTTAATGGCAGGGCAACAAAGGCTTCTTGGCCGCAAAGTGCTTATTTCCTCGCTAAGTACCTGTCGTAAACTTGTTTTCATAGAGTTAAACTTGACGGGAGCCTTTAAAAAGAACTCTAGAGCAAATCTTCTCATTTCGAGTTACGCCGTGCATTTGTCTACAGGTGATTTTTCTGCGATTTGTCATGACTTTAGTGTTTTCACAGATAGTCATAGAATGCTGGATGCTTGACATGCCATACTTTCGTAGGACTTTCTTCGTTCTATATTTCTCTCTGGCACTCTCATGGGTTAGTACTCGCGCTCTTCGTCATCTTAGACTAAGTTCCTTGTTTGTTTTTCTGACTTTGACGCCATCATCGGTCTGTATGAAGGTAGTCTGAACCCAAAAACACGCATGGCGTTGTGTGAATTCTTGCTGGATCCAGAATACCCGAAGACTTTCCTTCTATCATTTTCTTCCTCTTATTTATTTAAATCCTCGATGCTGGTTTCTCGCTGCTCACTCCTTGCTCGCGGCTTTTTCATGTAGCTACTGATAAGTGAGGGTAGAACATCTGCGTATGAACAAGAATAGTAGTAGTCTTCTGGCCGCCTGCGGGGTGTGGCACAGTTTAGCGCTTCTCTTTCGGCTTCATAGCTACGTACACTATCATCTGCGACCTGAAATTTCACCTTTAGCAGCTTCCTGATTTGGCAATTCTTGGTCCAAGATATTCATGAACATGGGTAGGCGCTTCTACTATCAAACTGCACAGCCTTGCTAACGTCAACGTTCTCTCTGATCAGTCATGAGAAAAAACATAAAGGTCAGGGGGTCAAATCTGGCATACGTCTCTCCCGGAATGCGCATGCTATAGACAATAACGTTCAAATGCGCATGAGGCTTGTACGAGGAGGGCAAAAGACACACTGGCTCTTGAAGGCGGAAAATGAACATCTTCGAAGCGGGAAATCAGTCACTATTATGGTAAAGTAATTTCGTGGCGTCTCGTGAAGCTTGAGGACAAACATGGTTTAACTTTGTCTCTAGTTGGCGGCGATCTGGAGGGGTTTGCTCAACTTGTAGAAGACCTGTAGTAAGACTTTGAACTTGTAGAAGAATTGGTAGAAGAACTTTTTGGGTAATAATTTTGTCGGCTCCTTTGTGGTATCTCCTCATCCTGTGCCGAGCTTGATAGTGGGACTCAGTTTAATGCGAAGAACCCATTTCGCCGCGATAAAGGCTTACTAGTACGCTGCTAATTGATGATAAATGTAATGACACATACTAAAAGGGTTTGGTAAAGGTTGGAAATAGTCATCCTTACTCGTTCTGGTCACTCACAGCTGCAAGACATTCTTTCAGTGCTCATTGAAAGGGATTAGTATGTAACATAGTTCTACCCCATCCCTGGAATGTGGTAGGCGTGGTTGCGTACACCATTCAAACATGGCTGTGCCTGCTTTTTGGTGGGATATATTTATTCTGAGACAACTATAACCATGTTTTCATCCAACAAGACAAGGTAGTTTCGTTTCAAACTGAAGTACCGCGACTATCTCATCCTACTGCTCGTTGATATTGAAATGTACTGGTCGGTTTTGTCCCTATTTTCTTATCTTCCGGATTCACTTCGACAGTGGAAAAGATTAGAATCAGGCTAGGACCGTTTCAGCAGCACTATTTCACCACTAATCCCGTTTCATCCTTCACATCAACACTTGGGTGCCCCTGGGGCTGCTGTCCTTTCGAATGAGGTCTCACCTTGTTATTTCTTTTTCACACGATGTTCACAGCTTTGTCAGCGTTTCGTCGTTGTTTTGATCGAGTTTTTATGAGGTCGATTACCCAGGAATCGCAAAGGTGAGTGTGATAAATCTATGCATCGGAGCCGCGGCTGTAATGCCGATGTTTTCCGCTGGCACTCGTATTTCCCCGCATCATCAGTGTTTCTATTTTCATCGCTGCTCTTTCGTCACCTTTTTGCAAAACGTTCATACTGGCCCAGGTCATCCACGTGATTGACACTTGGGGAGGTCATCCTCACTTCATGGACTTTTTAAGGTGACATTTTGACTAATGACCCTCATGTGCACCTTCGCTATGCGTTAGATGTTTGTAGTTCTCCTAGCTCAATGGGTTATTTACCACCATCTTCTACTCTTTCTCGCCTTCCTGAATGAAATTTTCGATTTTGCCATTGAAAGCTTCATCACAGAGATCAGGGCGAGGCCTTGGTATTCCCGGGCCGAAATACTGCTAGCTCCAACCCAGTAGCATCCGCATCTCGCCAATGTAACGACCTTACCTTTTCCGACCTGGTCTCGCAGGGAATCCTAGACAGTGGGCGTGGAAATGTTCAGGAGCATTTTCTTTGCAGAACTTGCCTGAAGGCATACGCGATCAATCAATCAGCTGATTGCTTGTTCATTTCCCCTTGTCAGATGAATTGTTATTCTGTTTTTTTCCTGACATTCACTCACACAATACATGTAGTTTCACTTGACGGATCCGTTGCTGTTTTTCTACAGATGTCATTTCAATTTTTTTCTGTCGCTGTGTGGTACGCTATTTTTTTAGTCTGCACCATTATATAGTAAATCTTTGGGCTCAGTTCGGCGCTGGGGGGCATTTTACACTTTCGGTGCTTCACAGTTGTGATTTACAAGTCTCACTGTCTCACTATCTCCACCTGATGGGACGAGAGGTTGATGGGAAGTAGCGGGAGAGCAAAGTGTCTCCCCCCCCGTCGCTGAACTTTGAAAATTTTTGCCATAGAATGACGTAGGTGGGGTGAGGGGGTAGCGAGGTGGTGGAGGGGAGGTGTAGTATTCTGGTCTTTGCCCTTCCAAACCCTGATAAAGGTCTGATGGTGAGATGTTAGCTTAATAAAGTGGTTCTTATGTCTTGCATATTGCCTCGAATCTTTCTTATGATCGATCGATGCCCCTTCCAGCTAACCTCCTCTAACGAACCCCACATGAAAAGAGCTCTAATATTCCTCTTGCAGGGCGCATGCACAGGCGAATATAATATACGACCAAGCACCCAGGCGAATGTAGTAAACGAGCAAGTGGCGCAGTCACCGCACACCCTGTCCAAAGATCAATCCCCGGTTCGTTTTCTGTTCTTTTTAAACCATTCCAAGTAAGTCTTACCTCAGCCGTATATCAGCGGGGATTTTGGAGGTAAAAAGAATGTAACTAGCCATCATAGGAAGACTTGGGCGGGTTAGGAGAAGCTGTCTGCGGTGACGCATCGTAAGTGACGTCGCGTGCGCGACATTCGCACCAGATCTTAATTTGTTTGACATAAAAGTGCTACAGTAAGCCAAGTCAGCTAGCAGGGAGGTATCTGAATGGGAAGTTGTAGGTTAAAACCAATGGTGTAAGTAGCATCACAGGTGTTTTTCTTCCATAGAGCACCTTTTGCGGCTTCCTCAATTTTTTGCGGTTTTGCTCCCCAGGAAATAATTTTAAATACTCTAAATTCCTGCAAAAGGGCTATAGTGCTACTCCTAGCCTGATGGTAACAGCAACTGCCTGACTCGTTCGTGTAAGCGGGTTATTGCTGAAGACGGAGATTGTTCTTCGGAATGTTTCCACTGGTCCTTGACATTCAGGCTATCAAAGCGGAGCATCTAATGTGTAGTCCGTGATGATCGTATGGGTGGAGACATGGAACAGAGGCGGCCAACTTTGGAACTTCCTTGATGGCATTTCCTCTCTTCTTATCGCGCTCGGGCTCCCTTCCTTCAGATCGCGAGTGTTGTTCTTTATAATCCTTCTTGGGGCCCATAGGAGGGCAGGGCTTCCTGCTGCTGGTGAGAATTTTCAAAAAATATGACCCCTCAGTTTTTTTTTGCTGTGGTACAATCTCTTCCCCTTCTATACTCTTACCATCACCCTGACCTTTCCCCAGTTCGGCCAATTTTTCGGAGTTTTGCACCACGATGAGCTTACGGGGGTGTTGTGGGAAAATATAACGCACATGAAACGGGAAAACCGAGTAAAATCAACAACTGGGGACATTTTCCTCGCGACTTGGAAAATTTCTCTCAAATGCGAATACGACCTCTCCCTTCTCTCCCAACAACGAGCCAATACGACCTGCCCTTCTAGCGCCCGTGAAACAAGAAAAATCAACTATCTGAAGGAATTTCCTCAGGCTAGTCCCAGAATCTCACCGTGTCGGGGAATCCCCAACTATGATGTGCCCTGTCTTGCTCCTACCTCCTGTTTCAGAGTTTTTCGTCGAAGAAATACAGCGATGAGCGGACGGGTGTTTCGGTGGGGAAATATATAGCGCACATGAAACGGGAGAAACTGACCAATGCTAACAAGGTGAAACATCTTCTTCGCGACTTGGAAAATTTCTCTCGGAGGCAAGTACAATCGCTCTACCTCCACCGACCAAATATGACCCCTCCCGCTGGGTACTTCCAGCTTGCGACATGCGCTGTGAGGGAGGATGTACTGTGGTCCTGTATTTCCTCCCACACACCGTGAACTATGCCTCTGGAATGGGGTTGTCGGATGACAAAATAAATGACAAAATTTCCGATAGAAAATCTATGATTTCATACTCAATAAGATTTCTATCCCCCATGATAGGAGCACATATTTTTTATTCCTACTTGGGGTCCATACTCCGCCTCCTCTCCTCCACAGAGGCTCTTCTCTGCTACGGTTCTCTTCCTTGAATGATTCGTCGCGGATCTATCGTTTGATACATTTCTCTAGGACAATTCCCAGTTTTCAGTGCAGCCAATGTTCTCGAACAGTAGTAGTTTCTTTGGCACATCGTCAGTCCTTAAGGAGCAGGATGTTTTGCGCGAAACAGAACGACATCGCGCTAAACGAAGCAGTGTACGTAAACAATCACTAGGAATTGGATCGCATATAAATGTAAGAAAATTCATCAAAATATTGGCTTTCCATGAAATTCAGAATGGCCTTACCCGTTTGCGTACACGGGTAAGGACGGTGGCTGGAATGAGATTGTCAAGTTTAACATTGGTAGACGAAGAAGCCACGGTTGAAGTCGTCGTGAGTTCAAGCTCGTACTTCGAATTCTGCGCTTGTACAGTCGATGGAAACATGCCGCGATCGAGATACGCAGACAAAAACCCTGCTTCTCTGTGCTCTGCCTTTCTACTGTACATGTAACGACAGAACAATAAGTAGACTAAAGGCTAGCCGTAGCACTGTACCTAATCTCTTTTTGTCTTGTGTGACTTTCTTGTAGAGTAATAGTTAGTTATAATTTTTATTGATTGAAATATTGATATTTAGGTATTCACTCATCAGTACACTGCCGATCCGACGTTAGCATGGGAAATGCTGAAGGAGAAACGGCCGGTGAAGCCGGTGAGGCAGGTACGTTCCTGGCATTCGGCAGGACATGCTCCCTGAGTCTCAAAGAAGTCAGTTCAGATGAAACTGGACACTCCAATCAGGCCAGATCACGTTCGGTTCGTATGCATTGGCTGTACCCACGGGGTCAAAATTGACCCAGCAAATTTACCGCCAGGCGACGTGCTACTTGTCGCTGGAGACTTCACTTCATGTGGTTTACCGAATGAAGTGTCGTCATTCAATAAAAAGCTTGGTAAGTTGCTGTTATTGAGTTGGTATCATGCAAAGAGACGCCTGTGCCAGAATCGAGCAGGTTCGGCGGCGGCTGTTCACTAGCTCGGCTCCTTGCCATCCATCACTAAATCTGCCGCGCGTAGACAGCGAGATTGAGCAGCAGCAGCACATGGACGAGAACTTATTAATTGTTTTCAGGGCAATTAAAACATCCCTATAAAGTCGTCATCGCTGGCAATCACGAGTGCACGTTTGACGACTCATTTCTTCGGGCCTCAAGTAAGTTAATTGAAATTTAGAGCCATTGTCCACGTTGATTTTGTGGGAGGAGTCAGGACTATTCCATACTCATTGGCACAAACCTCCCCTCTATTCTTTCGAAAGGGAGTGTGTACTCAATCGCCCAATCCCTCCCCTTTGATGTTTTGGAAAATAGTGGGCATCAATAAGGAAAACACTACGATAGAAATCAGACTCCGCCCATATGTCCATCGTGGACTAGCCCTTTAGAAGCATCGTCAAAAGAACTGTTGAGCTGGGCCCACCGCTGATTGAGGCCACGAGTGATATTCTACAGATCGACACATACACTCCATATCCCGAAAACCATCACACGCCTTCTTTAAGTAAAGTACGCGGCCACGCCCTCCCCATCTTGGGGATATGAAGCATAGATGTAGTCATTTTCGCTGCAGTTGCGGCGTGTCAGAGGACTGGGCTTGGCGCGACGCCAGCCTGGCTTCCAGCAACTGTTGTCACTTGCCCGCTTCAACAGTGGGTCTAGAACGGGCTGACGTCCTCCAAACCATTTCCCCTGACACGCCCCAACGTACATAACGAAAACGACTGCACTGGCTGTAAATCCTCCTTTGAAAGCGACTCCTGGAAAAGGGATATTCTGTCAGTCTGATATGCATAAAGAGCCTGGTCGAAAGCCGCTCAGGGCAAAAGGTCTTTCAGCGCCGGGGACATTGCCACACTTGCTCAGGGAAACTTGCGTTGTATACCTTAGTTCTCTTGGTGAAGCAATGCTGTTTCTTTCCTGCCCGTCCTTGAGCGGCTCTGATTTGGTGGCGTTTTGCTATTTGTCTTTGAACTTTTCACTAAGACACGCCGTTTTTCCCTGTTCTTTTTCCAGTTATCGCTGTTATCTTGAAGTGAGTATGTCAATCAAACCCTGCTGGGGGTATCCTTGCATGTCGTTCAAATCCTTACGGGAAGGGCTAAGGGCTTGGTCAGTCTGGTCGATTCTTGGTGGGAAGTTTAGGGATGAAGTATCTCGGATCACTGCAAATCGCCTGTTTATAAAGTCAAGGGGAAGAGGGTCTACAATTAAGAGGAGATTGGAGTTCTAGACCAGTTACTTAAGAAGAAACTGTACGAGTTCGCGATGAAGCAAGGCCAGTGCACGACTGGTCCTTCAGACGCACCTAATGTGACACTTATAGTGAGCGTTTTCTAGGTCGAGAGCTCCATGCTAAGGAGATGGCATTGAGACAAGCTTTGCTATCGTCACTGTCATCGTCCACAAGTCGTTAATTCAAAATCTCTTCTCACAAATTGTATCTACCTCGAGGACTCAGTGATCGAATTGTTCGGAATTACCATCTATGGCACACCGTGGTGAGTCTTTAAATATGCCATGTTAGGCTTGATTTCAAGTTAGGACCCAAGATAAACCCGATGGGCGGAGACACATGAAGAGACTCAAAAACCCCCATTGATGTGCCCCTCCTTCTAATACGGTGATGACAAGGGCGTCAGTAGGGAAGCTTGTGAGTCTCCGATCATTTCTTATCCTCATAACTTACGGCGGACGCCCCCCATTGAGTGTGCCAAGGCCAGAAGGGCACGGACATATGCAAAAACAGGTGTTTCTATGTCCCTTTTTTATGTCCCTTTTGTTTCTATGTCCCTTTTTTTGTTTCTATGTCCAGTCATCTCATTTCAGCTTCGAATCCTGCTTGAGCTCTCCATACAGCGCCCGTTCCCTTTTAGTCTTACGGTTAGCCCTTGGAACGCTCCTTAACTCGCTTCCCTGCCTTACCTGAACTCGTATGTTTCACATCAGAGCGCTCTACTCGCCCATTGGTGTCACGATTTTGCGAAACGCGCGACGCACCCTCCGTCCCCCTCTCCCCACCCGGGTACGACTTCCCTTCCCCTAACCTTCCTTTTTTTCTGTCGGAACTTTCCTCTGAAAATTCGCTTCTTCTTCAAACTACACCTCCGAGACCAGAAATTATACCTTATAGAAAAGCACATATTGAAACAGAGCAATATACCGGAAAATGCTTAACAATGTGAGAGCATTTTTACAAAGTTGAAGCACGACACTCTGACCACGAGTGTCTGTGCATGAATACGAGCCTTGTCGCTCGGGATCCCCACCTTATAAAGTGTGTTCAACTCGTAATCGAGGGAAAGGATCGCGTCTAAACCAAAACAAAATCCAATTGCGGAATTATTTTTTCGTTTGCCATCCTGCATAACGACGCAGATACGGCGCTCAAAACTACCTCTTCTGCGAGTGTGGTGTCTTACCACCTCCCCCCACTCCCCGCTTCCCACCCGTTCCTCGAAGGCAAGATTTTCCGGGAAGTTTGTCGGCCGGTCGCGTCGGTCGTAGCAAGGGTGCGATTTTTGCGTTGAGTGACTGATCTGTTGCGATGCCGAGGTGGGCATTGGAGATTGCTAAATAAACTCTGACAGCTGCTCACTTTAGCCTGTTATAAAACGGAGTTTTGATAGCGAACGGCTTTATTCATTTACACCCCCATAAAACCGAAGGACAAAGCTATATAACGAAGTGCAACTCAGTAAAATGTTTATTGTACGGAAACCTGGCATTAAATGTAGTACAGTGGTACTGACGTAAAGATCTGGTTCTACGTCTGGGTTTACGAGATTCAAGCCGCAAAACAATGTTCACAGCAGGGGAGTGGTGGCGGTGGGAGAGGAGGGGGACACATAGCACGCGGTGCCTCGGGGATCCTTAGTGGGAGTCGTATTTGCTCGCTGGCGGGGAGAGGATCGCGTTTAAACCAAAAAAAAATTCTAATTGTGGATTATTTTTCGTTTCCATCCTGATCAAGCGGCGCCGCAAAACTGCTCTTTCTGGTAGGGGTGTCTACCACCTCCCCCCACTCCCCCGCTTCCCGCCCCCATTTCCCTCGACGGCAAATTTTCGGGAAGTTTGGTCGGTCGGTCGGTCGTAGAAGGGGCCGTGACTGATTTTCGATCATCGGCAGGGTGTGGAACGGATATCCTCTATCAATTATGTGTAATGGGAACCTAAGAGCATCGGTCCTTCGATTGTTGGTCGGACATTTGGCCTCCCAACAATCGAAAGACCGATCTATAAGACCCCGATACTACCTTACTGTTGTACACGCATATTGGGCTCTCGCACTGAATGATTTACAGATTTCCAATGCTTTCGTGATCAGTTGAAACTCTGATCTACAGTTTACTTTCAGCCCAATAATTATACAGTTCATATCGGTAGGCAAAAAGGAACGTTTTCAAGCAGCCCTACGATGAGTGCACACTTCTGGCCGACTCTGCTTTTTTATATGTACGTCTCCGCCTGGCTTCTGTCGAGACTCCTGCACCCTCGCCGGTCCCTCTTGGAAACTCCCCCTTTTGCCTTCAGATATGGACGGTAGGCGGTCAGACAGCCCACACCATCTTCACCTAATGGTCTCTTTTAGCACACCAAAACATGCGCTCGTCACAGCTTTGAGCAGAGTGTCTCCCAAAATCACCGCAGCCTTCTAAGGAAAAGGAAAAGGAAAACAAAGAGGAAGACGCTCTATTGAACCGATACTGAAAGGGGACTAAACCAACAGTCCACACTGGTCGTATAGACGATAACGACGAACCACCGCACTTTTTTCAGCGCACCCCGCTTCCCAACCTCTTTACCGTTTTGCAAGCGGGAGTACCTCAAAGAGGAGAAATGGTTGGCTGTCTCCGCCCATATCGCTGCCCACATCATCAGAATAGGCTGTGCCTTTGACTCAACATTCCCATGTTAAAGGCAGAACCCGCGATTACTCGCCATCTCAGATGGTGGATTAGGGGGTTCCATATAGACGACAAGGGGTTGAGTAACTCGACTGTGAAAAAAGCACAAAAAACATGCCACCTGCCCTAGATAGAACCCCATTTCGATCCCA